ATCTTACCAACCCCTAGACTTGTAAATTATATTGTTATGCTATTATAAACCATTGAGTATTTTTCTGTGCCGGTCATCGTATGCGGTGTTAAACAGGATGCGATATCAGTCTAAACAGGAAAAGGCGGAGATTCATCAAATAAATGACATCCTGCAGTTTTGATTTATCGTTCTCGCCGTTCTCTCGGTCAGTGACAGAGTTGTTATTTGTTCTATATTTTAATAACTGCCTCTTATTTATCTTGGCCACACTTGGTGTAAATGTATCCACTGCTATGAAGAAAGAATCAGTCCAGGGTTTAAATTCAGTCTTCCATCTTTGGAGACAGAACTCTGGAATGTCAGTCTTCTAAATGTTCTAAAGCTCCTATGTAAGTGATGACATAATTTCTAGAAAAATGCATACATGTTTCTTTTCTTTTATCAGAGGATATGTTTGTTTTTAATTCATAAATGTAATTTATTTTATTTTGAGGGTATAGTCTGTACGTTTTCCTCTGTTTTCACTTATAAAAAGAAATGTGACAGGGTCTGACCTTTAAGCTTGTCCTCCTTTAAAGTCAAACAAAAAAAACAAGCATAAAATCATATTAAATTCAGTGATAGAACTCATCCTTGATCACTGTCAGCTTCTCCTCCATCAAATGACGTCACTTCCTTTGAGTCATCATAGCCTTAAAGGTGTATTGCACACATTTATATTAAATTAAATGCAAATGAGACAGAAACGTGGCAACAATTGTAAATTTATTTGCATAATACATTTATTTGTAGAATTTATTTTTCATTTGATGTTTTTAATCAATTGATGTGAATAATAACAACTTAAACTTGCTATTTCTGAAGTTTTTCCTTAATAACAGTTTTAGCATAACAAAACTATTAAAGCTGTAGGTTTAATTGGGCTGAGGACAAGGACAATAACAGAGTTTGTACAGAGTAGTGTTTTTAATAAAGAACAAAAATCTGAGAACCAAACGAACAACATATTCCAGAACAACTCACAGAAATCAACCTTCAGTCCATTTTGGAAATTTTGGGGATGAAATATTTTTTATTTATTGACTATATTTATGTTTTTATTTTAGATAAAATACGTTTCTGGAAGAATGTCCCATTAACTTTAATTTTTTTATTATTTTAATTATTATTTCTGTTTAATATGCTATTAAACTGGTCTTGTTAAATACCAATATAAAAAATAAATAATGGTTTTAAAAGATTAAATGGTTAAATGTTCTAATCACTGTTTATCGCCAATTTGTGAAAAGCGTGTTATGATGCAAACAAAAATAAATATAAATAGTATAGATGTTTAAAAAAATAAAAAACTAATTTACTCTCCTGTTGGTTGTCACTGAAATCCTGTTCACCATTTATATTACGTTATTAAATCATTGGCAGAAAAATCAAAAGGCTGCTTTAAATTTTTACCAATGAGATCCTTTCTTCCATATATGACATGTGAAATTAGTGCTTATATCCATTCTGTAGTACACTGCAAACAATGCTTTCATTACTTAGCTTATTTTGTCTTGTTTCTAGTCCAAATATCTTAAAATTCTTAAACCAAGAAGCATTTTCTAGACGAGCAAAACATGTCTTGTACTCAGAAATGGTCAAAATTAAGTGAATAATAATCTGCCAATGGCGTAAGCAAAATAATCTTGTCTCTCCTTTTGATGTAAGGTACCCCATTGGCAGATTATATTGCTTAAATTGTTTAAAACATGACCACCCCTTTAAATAATAAGAGTTTTTAACTGTATGCTGCAGTTTACAGAATGGCCACTGGAAACAAGGCTTACTGAATTCTACATCAAGACCTTTTAAATCTGATGTTTTTCAGAATGATGACCAAACAAAGCACATGTAGAAGGCAAATAGTTTAATTTAACTGTTGGTTAGAGACTCATACTGAATCGAAAGCTGTTTAGACACAAAATCCAATTCTGGTTTGTACATTTAGATTCACCAGATCATTTGTGAAAACGGCTTCTATTACATAATAAAACTGCGTGTGCAGTCTGAAACTGAGCCCATGATGGCTTTCAGATTGCTACAAATTATACAACATTGACGAATGAGCTTTGCAAATGCTCAAAACAGAAGGGTATTGCTGTTAGTGTCTGTTTTAAACATTTGTCGCAATTTTGGTTCTTTAAAGGGGTCGTGAACTGAGAAATCATATTTCCCTAGATCCTTTGACATATAAGAGTTGGCTACACTGTAAAAACATCTTGCAGGTTTCACATCTCAAAACCTTCTGTTAAGTCTAAAAACAGCCGATATTGAGGCCAAATATTGATAAATGTGTCATTTTATGTTATAGCGTGGCTAAACTCCTCCTTCTGCATCATTACCTGCTTAGCTCCGCCTACTAATTCACACTGCAGCAGGTACAGAGCATGAAGCGAACACAGATCTGTGTGATTTAGGAATTTGTGCAATCTCAATTCACTCCAAAAAATATTTTTTTACTGCTTGTTCAAACTATATTTAAAATGAGCTGAAACTACACAATTCTGGAGATTTCTTTGAGAAAACCTAAAGAGTCCATATTATACATGAAAAAGGGTCATATTTCGGTTATATGGGTCTCCAACAACATACTGATATGCATGCAAGGCCAAAAAACACTTTCATGGTCTTATAATATGCATTTATTTTTACCCAATTATCCCAGCGACTCCCATATGAATCGTTCAGCGATTCATTTGTTCCCAAACCCCTCCTTAGCACGAAGCTAATCTGCGCTAATTGCTCAGCGTTAGACAAATGCCCAGCGCAAGACAAATGCCCAGCGCGGTTTGTCAAGCCCCCGGCGGACGGGCCACGCCATAACTTAGATCATTTCTATTTGCAATTATTGCTGTGGCACCTCTTGCGTGAAGTGTTTTATGTTCTCAGGGCTTACCTGTACTCTGCTTTGCCCAAAGGTCCCATCCCCAGCCAGAGGGTTGTAGTGCTCACCAGCGTGTAGCAGGCTGCCTTTGTGCTTAATAAACTGGCCTTATTTTGCACGCACCCCTGATGTATTGTCTGCCCATTCTCACGAGTCTCATACACCAGTCTTTTCTGATCCTTCCTTTAACAAACGAATGAATCGCCCACTGTAAGCGTGTAGACTGCTGAATCAATTATTTCCCCTCTCACTTCCAATAATATCCAGGTAAGCACAGCATCTTCTTGACTTATGACTTCATTCATAATAGCATTTTTTGTGTTAGTATGATTTGCTCATCGCTCAACTAGTTGGGTTTTGGGGCACACGTCCTTTTAAATGTCTTGTTTTCATGCAAATTTAATTGTATATATTCATACAAATCACACTGTAAAAAGCTACTGTATGTTACTTTTTAAAAAAAAGTGAGTAAGCCTATTGCCTTAAAATGACAAGATGAAGTTACTTAAAGTAACTGTTAAGTTGACTTAATTTTTATAATTATGGTTCATGGTTTATTAGCTTAAAACAGTCAACCCGTCCTTAATTTGAACTGGATCCTGTTTTGGAAAATGTCAGATATTCGCATTTTGCTCTCCGGTATTTATTTTAATTGATTGGATATTAACTTGTGCATGGTGAATACCTGTATGTGTGTGTATGTATGTGTGTGCGAAGGCTGTGTGGATTGTGTGCGCACACAGATGACGGTAGTCATTTACATAAAAGTAAAAGTCACGTTTAACTATTGGCCCCCAACAATCAACAAAAAAATCAGCTTTCTTACGTTTATAATCACGCTCATTGGTCGGTGATTGTTTTGCGTGCTGTGAGCAGCGAAAATAAATAATGGCATAGTGACCTATACCTAAATAATAATTTATTTTAAACAATGAGTAAATCTGATGATGAGCCTGATCAGAAAAGATCCCCAGAAGATGGAACTGCGCGAATGGATCAGGAAAGCGGGAGACAGAAGCAAAGCAATCTTAAGTCTGCCAGCAAACATGACAGAGAAGGTAACTGTGAGCCAACTTCTTGAAGATTAGACTGAGTGAGTCATTTTGTTTTCTTTTTTTGTTCACTTGAAAGTTAACAGCAATGTCACACCACACAGTGGGAGTAACTATTTTCATCATGTGACCGCTATTGTTTAAAGCTTTTGACTTGTTTCAAATATCTGATAATTCTTAAATCAAGAAGCATTTTCTAGATTAAGTGGGCTGTAATAATAGTAATTTTGTGTTTGGCTTGCAATAAGATTATCTTGCTTGCCCCATTAGCAGACTGTTTTGCTCGTTTTAAGAAAAAGAAAAACATTTAATTTGTACTTATGAAAACAAAACAATATACAGAGTGATTCAAAAAGAATACCACAACTTTGAAAATCTGTATTTAATAAAAGAAACATTATTGAACCTTGGGTAATAATTCAATGTGAAGAGTATTTAAAGTCTTTTTTTCAGTAGAAAACAAGTTCATAGATGTTCAATATGACCCCCCTCCCTTTAATATGACACACTCAAGTGACATCAACCTGAAAGTTGTGGTATTCTTTTTGAATCGCCCTGTATTTTATTTTTTATTTTTACTTGTCTGGAATTTGTTTACTTTAAGCATTTTTAGATCTTTGGACTAAAAAAGACAAAAACCCTAAATAAGAAAAACGTTTCTTGCAATATTGTTTGGTATAATATAAATCCTTTGATAAGCACTTGTTTTATTTTTGAGTTTTTAACCAAAATCACATAAGCGTCCATCTATGAAGGACTGTCAAACATACATGCCACAAGTGTACACCACATATTTTTTGTTTCCAGAAATATATTCACATTGAGTTTCACCTTTAAACAACCAAACTCTGCAAGTGGATTAAGACAAATACATTTATTATTTTACCATAAAAAAGGCTTAATTCTGATTTTTTTTTTTTTTTTTGGAAACAACATTTTGTTTTACTTGTCTAGAAAATACCTCTTTATTTGTTAAATTATTATTTTTTTATTACAAATTTAGACAAGAAACTAGACAGTGGTAGTGCGATGAGACCAAAAAATAGACTATTACATCAAAATTATTTATTGTGAATGTCTTCATAATATTATAAATGGACCCCAGAGAACAGTACAAAACCCAAAAAAGGCAGTTGATGACACATTTAATCTGTCCCTTTCCATTCACAACCCCTAAAAATAGGACTTGGATTGTCAGAGGCTGAATGTTCGGAGGAGCTTCAGCTGCTTTCTCAATACTTTCCTCATATAACCAGATCATATAAGCAGTAGATGTAAAAATATGTTACTTCTGCTTAGCTGGATCCAGCACGTGAACATCTGTCAGATTCATTGCCCGGTAATCTCCAGAGGTGGGACCAAATCAAGTGTAAGCCCTGAGTCTTAACCTCAAGTCTAAATCAAGTCAAGACAATGTTTGTGAGACTCAAGCAAGTCAACTGACTGCTTATTTCAAGCAGGGTTGAGACCAATTCATTGTTTTTCATGTCAAGTAACCTGACTGCAAGTCTGTCATCAAGTTTCGAATCCAATCCGAGTCTTGTTTGATCAATTTTGTGACTCGAGTCCAAGTCAAGTTGCAAGTCATTGACTCCAGTCCAGACCTCTGGAAATCTCCAGCTATACCCTCGCAAGTGCCAATCAGGCTGAAAGATGCATTTGAGAGTCTTCAACAACACCATTGGGCCAGTAGTGGCCTAATGGTTAGGAGAGTTGCACTTGTGACCGGAAGGTTGTAAGTGTGAGTCACAGGCCCGAGTATGGGTCACTGTACTTGGCAACATGTCATGACTTTCATTTCTTCCCCATTGTTCTAGCATTTGTTGTCCAGTGCATCTGGATGTTGCAGATGCCAAATGGTTAGAGTTGCACTTGTGATCAGAAGGTTGCAGGTTCGAGTCCCAGATGATGGGAGTGAATAACCAGCACTCTCACCACCCTCAATACCAAACCTTGAGCAAGGCACCGATCCCCCAACTGCTTCCCGGGCATCAGCACCAATGCCAGTCCACTGCTCCAGCTGTGTGTTCAGTGTGTATGTGCATTCACTGCTATGTGGGTGCACTTGGTTTAGCTAAATGCAGAGCACAAATTCCAAGTATGGGTCAATGTACTTGGTAATACGTCACAACTTTCACTTTATCTCATTGTGCGAGTGTTTGGTGTTCGGTGCATCTGAAGGTCGCAATTGACCAATGTTTAGAGAGTTGCCCTTGGGATCAGAAGGTCACAGGATCGAGTCTCAGGTGATGGGAGTGAATAACCAGTAGTCTCACCACCCTCAGTACCACAGCTTGAGCAAGGCACCGAGCCCCCAACTGCTCCACGAGCTTCCCAACAATGCCTGCCCACTGCTCCAGTTGTGTGTGTGTGTGTGTGTTCAATGCTCTGTGTGCTCCCTTGGATGGGTTAAATGAAGATCACAAGTTCTGAGTATGGGTCACCATGTGAAATATATCATGACTTTCACTTTCACTTTTCCCAATTGTGCTAGTGTTTGGTGTCCGGTGCATCAGTAGGTTGCAAGTGTTGAATGGTTAGCAAGTTGCACTTGTGAACAGTTGGTCGCAGGTTCCCAAGTGGTGGGAGGAATAACCAGCACTCTCACCACGCTCAAAATACCACAACTTGAGCAAGACACCAATCCCCCAACTGCTCCTGGGGCACCACACCAATACCTGTCCACTGCTCTGTGTATGTTCACTGCTGTGTGTGCACCCTTGGATGGGTTGAATGCAAATTCCAAGTATGGGTCACCATGGGAAATATGTCATGACTTTTCCCCTTTGTGCTAGTGTTTGGTGTCTGGTGCATCTGGAAGTTGCCGAATAGTTAGAGAGTTGCACTTGTGAACAGAAGGTCACAGGTTTGAGTTTCGAGTGGTGGAAGTGAAAAACCAGCACTCTCACCACCCTCGAAACCATGGCTTGGGCAAGACACCAATCCCCCAACTGCTCCCAAGGTGCCACATCAATGCCTCCACACTGCTCTGTGTATGTTCACTGTTGTGTGTGCACCCTTGGATGGGTTGAATGCAAATTCCGAGTATGGGTCACCATGAGAAATATGTCATGACTTTTCCCCTTTGTGCTTGTGTTTGGTGTGTGGTGCATCTGGAGGTTGCCAGTGCCGAATGGTTGGAGAGTTGCACTTGTGAACAGAAGGTAACAGGTTTGACTCCCAAGTGGTGGAAGTGAAAAACCAGCATTATCACCACCCTCGAAACCATGGCTTGAGCAAGACACCAATCCCCCAACTGCTCCTGAGGTGCCACATCAATGCCTGCACACTGTGTATGTTCACTGTTGTGTGTGCACCCTTGGATGGATTGAGTGAAAATTCCGAGTATGGGTCACCATGGGAAATATGTCATGACTTTTCCCCTTTGTGCTAGTATTTGGTGTTTGCAAGTGCCGAATGGTTGGAGTGTTGCCCTGTGAACAGGTCACAGGTTCGAGTCCCAAGTGGTGGGAGTGAATAACCAGCACTCTCACCACTTTCAATACCACAACTTGAGGAAGGCACCAATTCCCCAGCTGTTCCAGGTGTGTGTTCACCTTGTGTGTGCACTTGGATGGGTTGAATGCAGAGCTCAAATTCCAAGTATGGGTCACCGTACTTGGCAACATGTCATGACGTTCACTTTTTCCCATTGTTCTTGCGTTTGGTGTCCAGTGCATCTGTAGCTTGCAAGTCCCAAATGGTTAGAGAGTTGCACTTGTGAACAGAAGGTTGCAGGTTTGAGTCCTAGTTTGTGGAAGCACTCCTACCACTCTCAATACCACAACTTGAGCAAGGCAAGGCTAGTATTTGGTGTCTGGTGCATCCGAAGGACGCATGTGCTTATCCAAATGGTTAGAGAGTTGGACTTGAGATCAGAAGGTCATAAGTTCAAGTCCCAGGTCTAAATATGGGTCACCGTGCTTGGCAACATATCACAACTTTCCGTTGTTCCCCTTGTGCTAGTGTTTTGGTGCGTCCCGAGGTCACAGGTCAGCTCTGACTGAAGTCTGCAAAGCTCTTGTTGGTGGAGAAGGGCTCCTGTGGGATAGGAAAGAAGAACTGCTGCGGTAGGAGAAAGCCGGAGCTCTGCAGGGTCTGATGGTGGAGCTGCAGCTCTCTGTGAGTGTGTGCATGCTGCAGAGAGTTAGTGGTGTATGGCGGAGGAGGCGGAGGTAACAGAGGCTGTGTGGGTGTGGATGCTGATGAAGATGAAACCGCCATGAGCTGCTGCTGTTGGTGTTGATGATGTTGTGAACATTGACCCATCGTTTCACTGCGGCCCAGGGAGAAGCGGCGGAGCGAGCTCCCTCCACCCGCAGAGCTGGAGCTGGTGGTGGCGGTGCTGGACTGGCGGGATGGCGTTCGCAGGCTGGGTGGAGCTGTGGTGAGGATCATGGGGATGGTTTCTCCTTGGCTGCGCAGAGAGAAGCGGATTGGCTGCTGGGTTTGCTGTTTGGGTCGCAGACAGGTGCAGCAGTACACTGCCACCAGAGAACCCACCACCACAAACGCCACAAAGATGGATCCCACCATCAGGAAGGGCACGTAGATTGGCTCTGCGAACAACAGAAGTCAGTGCATTAGCATGTGCAAAGGTTTTCAAGAGAACCTCTTGCTGAAGTATTTGTTTCATTAATTGGGATTTTGAAAGTTTTTATTAATGTGTTGTTATTATTAGCTATGAAGCACATCAAGCAGCCATGATGAGAATCACAACATCACAAACTTTGGAAATAAAAATAGGATCATCACCTTTCATAAAAGTTGTCCTAAAACTACTGAACAACACCTATTCTAGTTCTAGGACAATATTGAAAAACACTTTTGATTCTTTACTTTGAGTATTGACGTGCGTGCGTGCGTGTGTGCGTGCGTGCGTGCGTGTGTGTACAGGTGAAGTTAGAATTATTAGCCCCCCTTTGATTATTTTTTTCTTTTTTTTTTATGTTTTCCAAATGATAATGTTTTTTCTTCTAAAGAAAGCCTTATTTGTTTTATTTTAAGTAGAAAAAAAGCTGTTTAAATTTTTTTTTAAAGAATTTTAAGGTAAAAATCATTAGCCACTTTAAGCTTTTTTTTTATGATAATCAACAAAACAAACCATTTTTATACAATAATAATACTAATATCCCTAACCTGCCTTGTTAACCTAATTAACCTAGTTAAGCTAGTAAGTTTAAGTGTATTAAAAATATCTAGTCAAATATTATGTAATAATATTCTCTCTGTTAAACAGAAATTGGGGGGGGAAAAAAAATAATTTAGGGGGGCTAATAATTCTGACTTCAACTGTGTATACACACACACACACACACACACACACATATATATATATATATATTTATATGTGTGTGTGTGTGTGTGTGTGTACATATTTTAATCGGAAGCTATACAATATTAAATTATTGCATATACATCAGATTAATCACTACTGAAGCAAAATCTGGAACATATGTAACAAAATAACCTACGATAACCGTCCAAAATTAATACACTCATTTTTATTTTAATACACACATTTTTATGTTATAGAAAAATATTCAATACAAATATTAAGAAGAGGAAAAATTTTGTTTCAATTTTGTAGGCTGTAATTTTTAAGTTTGATTGTATTATCTTTCCATTTCTAAATATATTTGGTGACTAAAATAATATTTCAATAAATCTGTTTAATGAATCTCATTTGCTTAATGAACCAAAATACATTGCTTATATTCATTGAGAAATTGATAAAAATATTAATTTTCAAAATGGGGTGTACTCAATTATGCTGAGCACTATATATATATATATATGCATTATTGCATTATTATGCATTATTACATTTGAACAAAAACTTTGTCAGAATTTGCTAGTATATGAATGTTCGCATTATATATATATATAAATATATATATATATATATTTATATATATATAATGCGAACATTCATATACTAGCAAATTCTGACAAAGTTTTTGTTCAAATGTAATAATGCATAATAATGCAATAATGCACTAATGTAATTAACGCCTCGCTTTTTACGGTGTATTAAGTGTGACTGTTGTCAAAATTACGTTTTAATTAGTTTAATTAATTATCTCAGGGTTTACTATGTGTCAGTCTTTAAATGCTCTCAGTTATTATCAGTTGGTTTTAGTTTTGTATTTGTTTTGTTTTTTAATTCACCAGTAAATTTCAAAGTTCTGTGGTAAAATATAAACTGACAATACATGTTACATTTCTGATAAGGAAAGGAAGAATATCTGGCAACTTGTAGAAATGACAAATTCTATATTGATATTTTGAGATGTGAGATGCATTGAGTAAAACCAGGTAGGTGTGTCAGGTTCATATAACTGAAAATAATTTATTCAACTAGACGTCATTACAGCAGCTTGTCATAAAACTGTTTATTTTATTATCATATATTCATCAAGGTACATTAGAATTGTTCAGTGACAAACGTATATTCAAAGACATTCTTTTTTTTTCTTTCATAACTAAAAACCCATCTCAACATAATTCCACATGTACTATTCTCTCTTCTATTATTTTTTTTCTTTGCAAACCCTTTACAACAGTTTGCAGTGATGGACAAATTATCTTTCACTACTTTGCAGGAATAACATTTTTCAGGAGATACTTTAGTCAGTTCTTTGAATCATAAGCATACAGACTGGAAAAAAAATCATCGATTTACTTCATTTTTTTAATGTAAGTGGTTGCAAAAAATTTATATGGGCTGAAACTAACAAATTGAGTTTAACATTACTAAATTTAATTTGTTTATTTAAATTTAGCCCATATAAATTGTTAGCAATTACTTATAATAATAATAAAAAAAACTTTTTTTTGTCATAATTTAACTAGCTTAATTAGCTTAAATGGGCAAGTAAGGGTAACACTGGTTTGTTCTGCAGACAATCGAATTTTTTAGACTTTCTCCGGAAAAAAAGTATAGGATATAGTGTGAAACGCTCTGTTTAACATAATTTAGAAATTATTGAAAAAGAAAAATCACAGGAGGGCTAATAATTATGACTTTAACTGTAGTTAATGTTGGTAAATTCATTAACTAATGACATCTTATTGTAAAGTGTGTCTATGTATTTAATAGTTCCTAACTCGGAGTCTTACGGGCAGCATATTGCGTGTTGTTCTCCACTTCTCTGTCATTCGTGCACGTTCCCTGATCGAGGCGCGCGTCCGGCGCCGCGCAGCAGTAGCGCAGCGAGCAGCTCCCGCAGCACACCGTCGCGTCCGCCGTGTCGAAATCCTCCGGACACTGAAAACCCTCATGGTAATTCCCACTGCTGTCCAGCCAGCCGTGACAGTACTCTCCACGGGCTTCAGATATTCGCAGATTCCATGTCAAATACCCCAGAACCAGGCAATTGAGCAGGCGCACCATACCGGCGAGACGCGATTCCAGTTTTTTAAAACTCGCCGACAAACTTGAATTAAACCAGCCTCAAATAAACTATCGATGATTTAAAATACTCCATCAGCTCACAGGATTGAAATCGTTCAGCGAAAAAAAAATCCAAAGATGCTGTCCAAATCCACTAGCTACCAGGGAACACCTAGCAAAATATACCGACTTCAAAATGTCATTTCCAGAAACTCCATGATTTTATCCGCATATCATCCGTGTCGTTTTAAGCTGCTGTTCGTGATTATGTAATCCATGTCAGTGTGGTATAATAAAAAGTTCAAAAATGTTATGAAAATACTTCGCTAACTCGTCGTTGTTCTGACTGCATGAAGATGCGCGTCTGCTCTGAAGCGGAGTATCTAAAGCGCGCCTCTCTCTCTCTCTCTCTCTCTCTCTTTCTCTCTTTCTCTCTCTCTCTCTCTCTCTCTCTCTCTCAATTATTCAAATTACCTTTATTAACATGACCTGCACAGCATTGCCAAAGCAATTATACAAGACGTAAAAAGAGAACAATTAAGAATAGATCTGTAAAATAATTACATATATATATATATATATTATATGCAGAGTAAATAAATATAAGTAAATAGCATTTATATAACAGGAAAAAGATTTTAAAGTGTTTAAGACATTAAAAGCAACAATAATAATGAAATAAATAAATTAAATAAAAAATTAAAAAATAATAAATTAAAATATAAAGATAATGGTATTACTAGTAATTATAAAAACATTTTATAAGAAAAGCTCTTGCTTTAGGTTTGTCCATTGGCTCACAGTCTGAGTTTGTGGCAGGGTGACATTTGGCTGCTGTTGGGATCATTGTGGAATTTTCATCTAACATACTGTATATCTTAATTTTTCGGAATATTTGATAATGGCATAACATTTGGATAAATTAATCACACACACACACACACACACACACACACACGAGCTCGTCTCTGCGTCCTGCTGCCCAGAGGACTTGAGATGGACAGCACGATGCGTAGGTTTGTGTTAGTCAGATTTGATTTTAATCTTTGTGGTCATATCATTGTAAAGTCATAACATTATCGATTTGACTAATTTGTATCACAGCATTAAAAGTAAGACTGATAAACTGTTGCTTAATTTCTAGCTTGTCCTAGTCATTTTAAAGATGCATCTCATTTTATTTTTTTGCCCAAAATGTTTTTATTTTATTTTATTAGATTTATAAATATTAGTTGCCTTTTTCTATGGTTGACTGCTGTTTAAAACAAATTGTAGATAAATTGAGGTCAAATTGTTTAAAAGTATATTTCGCTTTCATTTAGTGTGTCAGTCTGGTAAGCTGGAGAAAAGTTTGCCTCTGGATTCCTGTCATGTTGTCGCCCTCTTCTGGCCATTGTGATCTTTTGCTGCGCCTGTTATTGTCTGTTCATTATATTGTATATGAAATCCTCTGGAACGAGTGTTTTCTATTGTTTTCTTCTTCAGAGAACATTATGTCCCTCTTTTTATTCACAGGTTTAAAATGTTAAAAATATAGTGTAAATAGTTACAAATATTTTAGACCCCATCTGTATAATTATTGTACAGTACCTGACAAAAGTCTTATCGCCTATCCAAGTTTTAGAAACAACAAATAATATCTTGACTTCTAATTGATCATTTGGTAACAGAAGTGGTTTATATAAAAGGCAAAGGTCTCTAGATTACGCTTATTTTACCAAAATAAAATACGATCATGTCTTGATTTTTAATTATTTCATTAGGGCGGAAAGGTCTGACTTTGCTTAGACAAAAGTCTTGTCACTTAACAGAAATAATGTACAGTATAGAATATAAAGTCATGCTGCAGTGCAAGAGAAATGAATATTGTGTCTGACTCCCATGAGCTTGGAGGACTGCATCCATACATCTCTGCAATGACTCAAATCATTTATTAATAAAGTCATCTGGAATAGCAAAGAAAGCCTTCTTGCAGGACTCCCAGAGTTTATCAAGGTTATTTAGATTCATCTTCAGTGCCTCCTCCTTCATTTTCTTCAAGACAAGCTCAATAATGTTTATATCTGGTGACTGGGCTGGCCAATCATGGAGCACCTTGATCTTCTTTGCTTTCAGGAGCTTTGATGTGGTGGCTGAAGTTTGAGAAAGAGCACTATCCTGCTGGAGAATTTGCCTTCTCATGGTGTTTGTAATGTAATGGGCAGCACAAATGTCTTGATACCTCAGGCTGTTGATGTTGCCATCCACTTTGCAGATCTCTCGCACGCCCCCATACTAAATGTAACTCCAAACAATAATTTTTTTATTCACCAAACTTGACTTATTTCTGTGAGAATCTTGGGTTGATGTGGGTTCCAGTAGGTCTTCTGCAGTATTTGTGGTGATTGGGATGCAAGTATACCTTCTGCCACTTTTCCAAATGATCAACTAGAAGTCAAGTTATTATTTGTTGCTCTTACAACTGGGATCAACGACAAGACTTTTGTCAGGTAGGCCAAGTGTATAAAGACCCATGTTTGAACCAAAAAATATTGGTATTATAATTAGATCTTTTAAAATTGTGTGAAAAATATTTGGTTTCTAGTTTTATTGATACTTTGTGCTACTAATTATTCTAGTGCCGTATTTATTTACATATTTTAATCACATTTGTATTTCAGTTAGTCATGTTTCTGTTAGTTATTTTAAAAGCAAATTCATTCATTCACTTGCAATCTGGGGTTGCCACAGCGGAATGAACCACCAACCGCCAAACCCCTTAAGCACTCTCCTGTGGTCCTTGGATATCAGTTTGAAAGTCCCTGTTCCATACAGTGTGGGACTATACAATGATTTGCTTGGTGTTAGTTTTATATATTAATTTGTTCATGAAGTCTCGCTGTTTTTATGAGAATGGTTGTCACTAGCGGTTAATATAGCTATGATCAATAGCGTTTTGGCTCAGTGTAAAAAGCAATTCTTTTCGAGTAGGGTAATTTGCAGACTGACGAAAACAGTTACACAAAAATAACAAGCTTTAGCTTGCATATGATGGGCTACAAGTCCATCTGGAACCAAAGCAGAAGTGGAGAAACAGACGTTTGCTTTCTTGCTCAAAGAGTTTTAATCAGGATGCGAATTACAGGGGGGTATATGGGGGGATTGCCCCCCGCCCCCCAATTACGCCTTGATCTCTCCTGAAGGACATCAAAACAAGATGTGTGGGGGGTCAACCCTTTGAAATTGAGAAATAGTTTGCTCTGACCTGTATTTTAAATAATAATGTTAATAATGGGTGACGCGGTGGTGCTGTGGGCAGCAAGTAGGTCGTTTGTTCGTGTCTGATGTCCAGTGATGTGACTTAGGCTATATATATCCTCCTGAGACCCAAAGAAACATTTTTTTCTGTGATTTTCTGCATCCTTATGGGTAAAAAAAAATTCTACAGAGTTTTTAAATTTTGTTTTTATTTTTATTTTTACAGCATGTCCACTGTAGTGGACCACAGGACCATTTCAGTTCGAAATGACCGCCACTCAGACAACAAAACTGTACAGGATATGGCTGTAAAGGGATATTAATCCAATATTAATGTAACAAAAACAAAACAAAAGCCATTTTTTCCTTTTGTATTGAAATTCCTGAAAACATTTAGTCTGAAAGGGAGCCGAACTAAAAAGCAAAACAAAAAAAAGTGATGTTAATCCAAAACAAATTTAACATAAAAGCGCTTTAAAACGTATTGTCATTCTCTAACCGTCTAATTTTCAGACTCTCCCTCAACTTTCTTATAAAGAATCCTCTCTGCTTTAGTTTTGCCCCCACAACATGCAGTCATTAATTACATTCAGATGGTCCTGGTGTCCACTATAGTGGACATTTAAAAAAGGTGATATTTTGAAACACAAACAAGTTAACAGCTTTGAACGCTAAATGTATGGTTCCTGACAATTTAATAAATAAATATATATGTAATAATAATAGTAAAAAAACATTTAAAAGCTACATTTTACATACCTCTCTCCTTCCTATAAAATGTACTTTTTTTTGTATGTCGGCCATTTTGGATGCAGTGTAAGAAATGGTTCCTATCATGCCAGCCAATCAAATGACATATCACAGGATGTCCTCTGAACATGGACTTGACAGAGTAGCTCAAAAGATTCAAAGAAAATTAATGAAAACGCAATGTCCACTACAGAGGACCCAAGTCAATGGGCAGGGTCTAAGGAGGATAAATCGATCTTTTTTTTCTACTTTATTCAGCCTATTTCCATATAGATTTTATCTTATTTTGATTGGTTTTGTGATTTTTTTTTTAACCTTTAAGGGGACCAATTTTTTACAAGATGTAAAATAAGTCTCTAATGTCTCTAAAGTGTGTATGTGAAGTTTCATCTCAAAATATCAAACATTTAATGTTTTATAACTCTTTGAAACTCACCCTTTTAGGCTTTGATCCTAATTGTACCATTTTGGTGACCGACAAAAAATGGCAGAGTTACAAATGCCTCTGCACCAGATTTAAAACAGGACTAGTGTTATCTCTCTGAAACACTGAAAATGTCAACAGAAGTGGTTCAGAAGAAGATAAATGATATGGCTTACGCCTGCTTTTCACTCAGTTATCATCACTTAGGGGGTACTCACACTATGTACAGTTGCTTTGAACCGGGCCGAAGCAGGCTTGTCCCCCCTCCCGTCTCCCCCGATGGCCCACACTCACATTGCATTCATGCCTGAGCATGCTTACGTCATTGATGTTGTGCTGTTCAGAAAGCACTCTTGCTCAGCATAGTGGACATTTCTGTTCTGTCGTTTTAGTGGTTAGGGATGCAGTGACACGCAGTCAAATATTTCACCGAACAGATCCAGCACTTTTGACCCTCATAAACAATCATAAAGTCCTCTTGCTGCAGGAATTAGGAGGTTTGCTGACGGTGCAGCGAGGGGTTTGCATCTTTAATAAACTACGACAGTTTGCGTGCAATGAATAGTAAGAATGATTTATAAATACATATGAAATGGTCCCTTAAAAGTCACGTCTTGCAGTTTCGGGCTAAGGCATGCTTTGCACTTACAAGCATACTGCGCCCTAGTGAACCGTGCTCTGGCACACTTCTTCCAACTGGGCCAGGGCCGGCCAACTGAACTGCGAACAAGCCGGGTTCAGAGCACTCACACTTCACAAACGATCCGGGAATCGGGCCTGGGCACGGTTCACGTATAGTCTGGGCTTTTTGCCTTTGATGACATGTGCACAGGGAGAATGCCAATCCAATTGTTTCTGTTTTTAGACTGTTTTTATCAAGTGTGATTATAAAAGATAGAATGAATACATTTTTACCATTAGAGGCTATTTTAAATAATGATATTTTGGATCATTTCAC